TAATCACACTAATCCTTAAAAGTAAAAGAGGAAATCAGAAGGTCCAGAGAGATGCAACATGACAAGGACTTAACCTGCCATTGCTGACTTTGAAGATGGAGGAAGGGGGATACACACAAGGAACCTGTTAGCCACTAAAAGCTGGAAGCATTCCCCAGTTTATAGACTGAAAGAAAACATGGACCTCGGTCTTATAAGCACAGGAAATGAAATCTGCCAACACAAATGAATAAGAAAATGGACTCTCTCCTAGAACCTCCAGAGATGAATGCAACAATTCATTTAACATAACACTTTTATTTTAAACCTGTTGAGACTAGGACCCTACCTCCTGTGTTGCAGGTGTCCCCAGGCAGAGAATTGGAGTGAATATAAGGCTCCTCTCATGTGTTTCCCTTTTCTCAGAGATTATACTCTTACTAGTGACCCAGTGCATAGATTTGTGCACATTGAAAGGAAATTAATGAGAAGGTGGCCAGCAGGGCGGGATTAGGCAAGAAGCGCCAGACATGCCCTGGAGCCAACCTCCCACAGTGGTCCCTCCCTGGCATCTGTGGAGTGACTGGGGTCCCTCCAGCAGGTGGGATCCCTCAGCCTGGCCTGTGGGGATTGGGCTGAAACTGGCTCTCTGACATCCCCTGAGGGGTCCCAGAGTGTGAGAGGACATCTTGCAAAGTTGCTGTCGTACAGGATATGAAAGCAAATGCAAGTGTGCAGTAAGTTAGATTTGGGGTCAACAATGCCCCAGCAACAACATAACCCACGGCTGAAGGTGGAATCATGTGGCCCCACAAGGAATTGGGCTCCCTCCTCTCTGGTTTCAGGGGGCATCACTGGAGAACTGTCACTGCAGATCAGCAGCTCTTGTGTTGAGCATCTGCTCCCTGGTGGTCAGTGCATGTCATAGCGACCAGTCAGATGGTCAGACATATTAACATTTTACTACCCTGTTTCCCTGGAAATAAGACACTGTCTTATATTAATTTTTGCTCCCAAAGATGCACTAGGTCTTATTTTCAGGGGATGTCTTATTTTTCCATGAAGAAGAATACGATACACATTTATTGTTAAATGAAAAGAAAGGAAATTTATTACCTGTATACGGCACGGTAGTACAGTAGTTGTCAACACAAATCAGACAAAATGTGAATCCTACAGTATCAAGAATTTACTCATTTATTAAATGACGATCATGTCATCATCTTCTGGAACATCATCATAACAATCCAATTCCTGAATTTCCTGGTGAATTTCTTGTGACTCCATTTCTTTCAGAATCAGTGGACCAAATCTCTCATGTTTAGCAACAGCACTGTCTTTAAATGAGTACTTCTGCTCGCAGTGCATTTGCAATGCAACTGTCAGTGATTTTCTCCCATAAATTCGTCACCCAAGTCACAACTTCTTGCAGTTTAGGTTTCACAAAGTTCCACATTGATTTCTCTCCATTCTATTTTCAATGTAGTCATTAATTTCCATGAGCAAATTGTCTTTGAATGGCTTGTTTATTGCAATATAAAGAGTCTGGAGATAGGCCATCATTCCTGCAGGAATCATTATCTGATCTATTTTTCTTTCGTGAAGAAATGTCTTCATGTCTTTAGCATGGTGAGTGCTGGCTGCATCCCAGACTAGCAGACCTCTTTGGCTCCCTTGCATAACATGCGGCAGCATTAAATCAACCCACTTCCTTATAACTGCTTGTGTGGCCCAGGCTTTTTCAGTTTCAAGAATAAAAACGCCCAAAACACGTTCAATCTTTTCCTTCTTGCCCTTAGAAATGATTAAAGGTGGGATTTTAGTGCCATCCAGACAAATTGCCAAAATACAGGAAACACGTGCACTTTCGTAAGAAGTGGAGGGAATGTACACTAAGGAGGCATCCCACTGTTCAATTGTTGTTTGAGATGATTGGCCCATAAATAACTTGAGTATCTTCCAACCTAAACAATGTTGTAGATCTTCTTAAAGACAGTTCACTTTGCTGAAGGAAATTATCCAGCCAGTGTTGTGGTGCTTTGAAGTCTTTGGGGGCTATGTCAAACTGTGGTGCCATTGCAAGGGCAAATTCTTGAATCTGAGCCCTATTCACAACAAAAGCCTCTGCTCTCCTGTCAACAACCCATTCACAGATCAGGTCTTCCAGCTCGGAAAATAATGGTTGCCAACCTGATCCACACTTGCGCTTTTTAGCATTTCCCTTGTCCACTTGTTCAATGAGGTTACCATACTCTGCTCGCCATTTTCGGACCAATCGGATACTCAACATCTCTTTGCAGAAAGCAGTAAGATTTGGCCCCAAGAGTCTTCCACGATTCCTTTCTTGTACTCCACGGAGTAGCTTTTTCTTTTTGTGCTCATTTCTAGGAGTAAAAAAAAGGAATTGGGGTATCAAGGTGAGGGGAGGGTATAACTTAAAATGACACAGGGGGGATCAGAGGGGGGATCAAAATGGCACAGGAGAATCAGAGGGGGTTTTACCATTTTAGTAACCCCTTTTGATCCTCCTGTGTCATTTTGATTGCCCCTTCTGATCCTCCTGTGCCATTTTAAGTGATCCCCCTCCCCCCACCCCTGTGCCACTGAACACCTTCACCAGACATCCCTCCTACCCCTTTATCAGACATTTACCCCCTGGGGCCTGCCTGGGGATTGTCACTGGGCTTGCTGAGGCCTGGATCTGGGCTGGAGTAGGGTCTGCCACTGACTGAGAACCTTCAGTCATCATGAGGGCGGCCGTGAGCATCAGGTAGTGTCACCAGAGTCAGACCAGCACTCACCACCTTTGCCACGTCCTGTCCGCTCTAATCCTCCTGTTCTTCTACACACGCATCTGCAAAAGTCTCCTCCTCTCTCCTGCCCCACTCTCACCGCTCACATCGACCTCCGCTCCGCCTCCACACAGCAGTGATGTCAGGACTCCGCGTAACGTCACTGGTTGCTAGACGCCAGTTGGGGCGGCCCTGGTGACGTTTATGGAAAATTAATTTTCATTTCTTGCTAGACGCCAGTTGGGGCGGCTCTGGGGGGGGGGGGGGGCTTTTTTTCGGGGGGATGCCTTATATTTCACTCAGAGGGAAACCTGTAAGTAGGTCTTATTTTCAGAGGATGTTTTCTTTTCGGGGAAACACGGTAGTATATACACTGAGTGGCCAAATTAGTATGATCTCTGAATGTATAACAATCTGGCCATTCAGTTTATATACCGTATTTTTCGGACCATAAGACGCTCCGGACCATAAGACTCACCCGTTTTTAGAGAAGGGAAATGAAGAAAAAAAGATTCTGAAACAAATAGTGTCCTAAAATATTTTATGTGCATTAAAACCCAACATCACAGTCATAAACACATGTAATCAACCCTGTAAAGCACATGTGTCAAACACAAGGCCCGCGGGCCAAATCCGTCCCGCCAGGCCTTGCAATGTGGCCCGCACCACGCTGTCATCACTGCACTCCGCTGCGTTTCCATCACAATGACAGTTTATGACTGTTCAGTAAACCATTTGGCCCGCGATTTAGGCTGGATTTTAGATTTTGGCCCCTTCTCTGATTGAGTTCGACACCCCTACTGTAAAGTAAACAGCAGCATTTAGAACCATTTTAGAGCCGGGCAAGCACACAGAGACCACACAGAGCATGGCAAGTAAAAAAACTTTTTTTTTAAAGTATATGTGTAGGCTATATTTGGACCATAACACGCAGGGACTTTTTTCCCCCACTTCTGGGGGGAAAAAAGTGCGTCTTATGGTCCGAAAAATACGGTATATACTAGAGGCCTGTTGCAGGAAGATTCCTACAATAGGGCTTCCTGCTGTGGTTGCTGCCTTGCCTGATTCCCTCCTTTCTCCCCCACCCTGCTTGCTTGCTTCTCCGCAGCTTCACACCCTTCTGCAGCGCTTGGCTTCTTTCTACATTGTCTTCAGTCTTCGCTCTGGCCTGGATATGCAAATTTAACCGCCATCTTAGTTGAGTTAATTTGCATACTCGTCGTGATTGGCTGGTGGGCGGGGCTTGTTGGTGTGGCAAAGGTACAGTCAATTTGCATGTTTCTCATTTATTAGATAGGATTAGAGGCCTGGTGCATGAATTCATGCATGGGTGGGGTCCAGCAAGCCTGGCCAGGGGGAGGGGACATGGGCAGTTGGCTGGCCTGCCTGCTGGTTGAACTGTTGAGGGGACAATTATATAGGATATACACTGAGTGGCCAGATTATGATGCATTCAGAGATCATAATAATCTGGCCACTCAGTGTATATAGGTAATGCTTACTGTGTAATGCCTGAAAATAATTGTCTCATTATATTTTGTCCACTTTTATTGTTGTCTGTGGTGGATAAGCAGGGTCAGCACCAGTTATCCCATCATAAGAAGAGGAAATTCTCTGGGGAGGGAGGGTATATATGGGAGGAGGGGCAATGGTAAGATATGTACACAGATAATAATTTAATTTTTTTTAAAAAAAACAGAAAACAAAATCTCTAAGTAAAATAAGAATAGAAGGAAAACTTTCTACAGTGATTTTGTTTAAAGCCAGAAAAAATACCTAGAAGCCTTTTCATTAAAGTTGGTAATAAAACATGAGCCCAATATAGTCACTATATTCTAACTATGTTCTATATGTACTGATTAATATCACTAGACATGCAAATGAAATTGGTAATATAAATATTTTTAAAAGAATCAAAATGTTTTGTAGTAGATATTATTTTACATATGAGAAACCTAAACATTAACTTTAAATCAATTGAGAATAATATGAGAATTCAGAACAGTGGCTGCTTAAAATTTTAATCTACAAAATAAATGTTAACATACAGGGTGGGGCAAAAGTAAATTTACAGTTGTTTATGTGGAAAATAATACAATAATAAATTGTGTTTCATTAAAGAAGAAGAAGAAGAAGAAGAAGAAAAAGAAGAAGAAGAAGAAGAAGAAGAAGAAGAAGAAGAAGAAGAAGAAGAAGAAGAAGAAGAAGAAGTGGAGGAGGAAATTATTTTGCCTGCAGGTTCCCTTTCCCATTGGATCTGAACACCAATTTTGGTGGTTGGTTGGTTATTAAAGGAGGAAAAGTAAAACTGAAGCTGCCCTCATAGTGCATGTAGTCTTATCTATAGCATGTGGACTAGTTTCAAATAAAACAAAAGGGATGGGAGAAGAAAAGAGGAAAGTGGAAGTGGTTTAGTTTACATTTCTGTGTTACACTTTATTTTTTTTTTAAATGTTTTAAAAAATTTTTAAAGCAAGCAAAATGGTAATAGACTGATAGAGAGTAGATTGACACTTAACCATTGTACCAGTAATGACCAAAAAGACTGGTGTTGGGCCCTAGCTGGTTTGATTCAGTGGCTAGAGTGCTGGCCTGCAGATCAAAGAGTCCCAGGATCAATTCTGGTTAAGGGCATGTACCTCAGTTGCAGGCTCCTCCTCAGCCCAGGGCCCTGGTTGGGGCACGTGCAGGATGTAACCAATTGATGTGTTTCTCTCACATTGATATCTCTCTCTGTCTTTCCCTCTCTCTTCTACTTTCTCTAAAGATCAATAGAAAAATATCCTCAGGTGAGGATTTTAAAAAATAATTAAAATGAAATAAAGGAAACCAAGATGGTGGCATAGGTAAACACCTATACTGCAGCCTTGCACAACAACAATTTCAAAACTACAACTAGGAGAATTCAACATGGCTGCACCCAGGTAAACACCTAGCCGCAGCGCACACAACAATTTCAATAAAATACAACTAAAATATGAAATGGACATTACCCAGAACTACAGGAAAGTCAACTGACTGGAAATTCTACAATGAGAAGCAAGGAGAAGCAAGGAGAAAACCAGAAAAAAGTGTGGAGGAGCTGGAAAAGCCTGAGGTACGGAGACACGCGGCGCAAGCGGAGAGGACAGAGCCGGAGAGGAGAGCGGCTGAGTGCTTGGCTGGCGTTCCCTAGTGGGAAGGAGATAAGCTCCGACTGCATTGGGCCCCAGTTGTGACTGCTCTGAACCCCAGTTCTGGGTGAGACTTTTGGGTACCCAGACTCATTCGGGGAGAAACTGGACTGTCTGGCAGCGGGCTAAACTCGAGAGCAGCCTTCTCTCAGAGGTGTGTGCAGCCATTGCCATGGGACACTGACACACAGGGGCCTCTTAGGGCAGAGCTGACAGGAAACCAAGACTGTCTGCTCCACCCTGAGACTCCGCCCCATCCAAGCTGAGCACAGAAGCTCTCCTAGCAGAGACACAGCTGATCCTCACAGCCAATTGGCCTGAAGGTCAACTCCCCCCAGTGATACTAACAACAATCTAGGCTTAACTACAAAAACATTGCACACACATCCCACAAAGGGGCACACCAAGAGTGTCCACCTCAGGTAATTGGGGAGGCTGAACCACTTGGTTCTGCTAGGACACCTAGCACACAAAGCCACTCCATCAACTCAAGGAAGCAACTAATATGTGGGGACAAAGAGGCAGAACACAAATGAAGGAAATGGAGGAAAGCAAGCGACTGGATATAGAGTTCAAAACCACGGTTATAAGGTTTTTCAAGAATTTCCGAGAAGAAGCAGATAAATTTAATGAGACCCTCGAGGATATGAAAAAGGATCAACTAGAAATTAAGCATACACTGACTGAAATAAAAAATATTATACAGAGACCTAAAAGCAGACTAGAGGATCACAAGAATCAAGTCAAAAATTTGGAATACAAAGAAGCAAAAAACACTCCTCCGAAAAAGAAAAAAGAATCCAAAAAGTTGAAGATAGTGTAAGGGGCCTCTGGGACAACTTCAAGCATACCAACATCAAAATTATGGGGGTCTCAGAAGAAGAGAGAGAGCAAGATACTGAAAACATATTTGAAGTAATAGTGAAGAAAATTTCCCCCACCTGATGAAAGAAATAGACTTACAAGCTCAGGAAACGCACAAAACCCCAAACAAAAGAAATTCAAAGAGGACCACACCAAGACACATCATAATTAAAATTCCAAGAGCAAAAGACAAAGAGAGAATATTAAAAAGCAGCAAGAGAAAAACAGTTACCTACAATGAGGCACCCATACAATTTTCAGCTGATTTCTCAACAGAAACTATGCAGGCCAGATGGGAATGGCAAGAAATATTCAAAGTGATGAATAGCAAGAAACTACAACCAAGATTACTCTACCCAGAAAATCTATCATTCAGATTGGAAGGTCAGATAAAGAGCTTCACAGATAAGAAAAAGCTAAAGGAGTTCATCACCACCAAACCAGTATTATATGAAATGCTGAAAGGTATTCTTTAAGAAGAGGAAGAAGAAGAAAAATATAAAGATAAAAATTATGAACAACAAATACATATCTATCAACAGTGAATCTAAAAACCAAGGGAATAAAAAATCTGATGAACAGTATTAACTGGTGAATATAATAGAATCAGGGGCATAGAAAGGGAGTGGACTGACAATTCTCAGGGAAAAAGGGGAGTGGGGGGGGGTGGGAAGAGACTGGACAAAAATCCTACACCTATGGATGAAGACAGTAGGGGGAGTAAGGTCAGCGGGTGGGGTGGGAACCTGGTGGAGGGTAGCTATGGGGGAGGAGGGGAAGAGGAACAATTGTAATAATCTGAACAATAAAGATGTATTAAATTTAAAAAGTGAAATAAAATTCCTCTCCTAAAAAAAACAGAAGACTGGTTTGGGGAGGATTATTTTGAGTTCACTTGAGTGCTTTACAAAAAAAAAAAAAAAAAAAAAAAAAAAAAAAAAAATTACAAGCTCAAGTCTATTAACTCTCAGCCCATCAATCTATAGCTGCAGGCCTCATATTCCTGAAAATCAACTGAACTGGATGATGAATTATGAGTTGAACTTGGTCTCATCAAATTTCTCATGTGAAAGGGCATTTATTAGGAATGGGACCCTAAAATAGGGGTGTCGAACTCAATCAGAGAAGGGGCCAAAATCTAAAATCCAGCCTAAATCGCGGGCCGAATGGTTTACTGAACAGTCATAAACTGTCATTGTGATGGAAACGCAGCAGAGTGCAATGATGACAGCGCAGTGCGGGCCACATTGCAAGGCCTGGCGGGACGGATTTGGCCCGCGGGCCTTGTGTTTGACACATGTGCCCTAAAACTTGGAATGGAGACATCTTTCTGTTTGGACCCAGATAAGACTGACAATCTTGAATCAAGTCATTCTGAACCTCCCTTATCAGTTGAAGCATGCTTGCTGCCTTTCAGTGTCTAGAATAACTGTTTCACTGCTTAAAATCTTGTGATAACCTCACCTGGAGCAGACCCCTTGAAAGTGGATGCTGTTTTTAAGGTCCACCACAACCACCTCAAAATGCCACTAGACCCACAACTAGGGTCAAATCTCAGCATACTTCAGGCAGCCAGGTAATATATAACCCAGGAAGAAACAGATTACATATCAAACTGGCAGAGTAGATGGCAAATGATGGGAGGTGCACACCATCAAATATGATATAGCTAGAATGAACTAGATATATATTTTTCAACATGGGTAAATCTTCAAAACATGGTGATGAGAAGTTAGAAGAACATATATATATATATATATATAAAGCCTAAGTGACCGTTTGACCAGTAGCTATGATGCACACTGACCACCAGGGGGCAGACACTCAATACCGGAGTGAGCGGAAACCACAGGCACAGAAACATGGAACAGATTAATGAATCTCAGAGGGAAGGGGGGAGGGGAGAGGGCAGGGCAAGATTAACCAAAGATCTTATATGCACACTAGAGGCCCGGTGCACAGATTCATGCACTAGTGGGGTCCCTCAGCCTTGCCTGCGGGGACCAGGCCAAAAACAAAACTGGCAGTTCAACATCCCCTGAGGGGTCTCAGATTGTGAGAGGGCACAGGCCAGGCTGAGGGACCACACTTGTGCACACATCCATGCACCCGGCTTCCAGTCCTATATAATAAAAGCCTAATATGCAAATTGTTCCTTTGACATGGAGTTTGACCAGGGGGTGGGGCCGCATGGCCAACTGCCTGCTGTCGCTCCCTTAGCCAGCCCTGCCTCGGCTGGTGGCAGTGGTGACATGCAGCAGGGGGAAGGAAGGCCCATGCTGGCAGCTGGCATCTGCTAGAGACCCTATCCATGCATGAATTTTGTGTACTGGGCCTCTAGTCCTGTATAATAAAAGGCTAATATTCAAATATATTGTATGGCAGGACAACTTAGCAATCAAACTGGTTACTATGACGTGCATTAACCACCAGGGGCACAGGTGGAACATGGTGGGCGTCAGCTGTGGTGGGATGGTGGAGCTGGTGAGCAGCAGTGCCAGACAAAGGTGGGGCACTGAGCACTGTCATCAGACTGAGCCTCTGGTGGTTACTGAAAATTCTTTGCTCGTCTGTGCTTTGGTCCCGCCCAACGCTCGCACCTGCTGCTGCCACTGGAGCTGCTGCTCACACCTGCTGCTGGTGCTTGGCGCCGGCCATGATTGTTTGACGTCATCAGCAGGTGTGAGCAGTGGCTGCTGGCCCCAATTGTCCTTCAGGGCTTCTCCACCTCCTCCTGCTCCTGAGGGACGATCAGGCCAGCAGCTGCCACTTGCACCCACAGCCCTGCTTGCACCACAGCCAGTGCCCAGCACCAGTTCCTATTGCTGGGCACTGTCAATGGGTGCAAGTGGCAGCTGCTGGCCCCAATTGCCCCTGAGGGCTTCTCCACCTCCCCCTGCTCCTGAGGGGCAATCATGGCAGCAGCTGCCACTTGCACCCGCTGACAGCGCTGGCCCCGCTTGACACCCGCTGCTGGCACCCGCTGCTGGCGCTGGCCCCAATAGCTATGCGCCATCAGTGAGTGCGAGCAGGGCCAGTGCTGTCTGCATCAGCATGTGAGAGCAGCGGTGGGTGGGAGCAGGGATGCTGGCAGGCAGAGGACTGAGAGCCATGGCGGGAGGGGCCAGGTGGGGGTTCGGAGGATGGGCTGAGACCTGCCCCTGTGCCCACCGCAGCCTCATGGCCCACAGTTCTTTTCAAGGTGCAAGAATCAAGGTGTACTTGGCCTCTAATATATAAAAGAGCTAGGTGCCATCATGACTAAAAGGACAACCGGTGCCCCCCACTGCCCCCGAGTCACTCACCATGAGTGGGGAGTGGTGGTGGGTGGGAC